ACATGGCATGTAGAGAGAGAGAGAGAGAGAGAGAGAGAGAGAGAGATAAAGATGCAAAGAAAGGCGGGGAGGTTAACCAGACGCACATCCGGTTTGCTACCCTGCACTGGGGAAGGGATGAAGGGGAGAAAAGAGGTTGCAGAGAGATGAGAAGGTATACACACAATCACGAGCACACTCGGGGAGCACACACAGTCTACAGGCGGTCGCTCAAGTTTGTTGACTTTAAGTAAAGTAGCAGTGCTTTAGTCGCTTTCTGCGCAACTGAGGCAGATGCCCAAGATCCCAGTATCTTCTGCACATAAAATGATCCGGGGTCATGTAATTATTTTCCTTAGAATTGGGCACGCCGAAACGCTGGGAACGAACAGTCAACATGGCTTACTCATCCTCCTGCATGTGAGCCGTGCTGATATCCATCCACATATACAATGTACGATGCGCATAGGAGCAGTCAATAATAAGCGATGCTTCCATGCATGGACGTTCTCACAACGCCGGAACCGCACACGCTTCTGGCAGGACGCATCAACTCCTTTCAACTTTATTCAATACCATAGCGCGCGGGCGGATGTTCAACGCAGTCCAGTATAGTATAGCTGACAGCTGTAAGCTTCATATAAAGTTCTGTACTCGAAGAGTATCTGCAGAAGCGAAGCATCTCAACTTTACGCTGCAGTGCATAATCGTATATGAACCGACCCCGCCGGATATACATCCATATATGGTATATGGAAGCCACATATGCTGACATATATGCCTATATGTGGCCTCATATAACTTATATAAGTGCCATATATGGCATTTCCGTAACGTATAGTGCCCTAGGTACGTCTTCAAAGCGGCTTACGTAGATGCAATTAACTTGTCGCACCACACTCGTCAGTAATATAGGAGCTTGCAAAGCTGACAGACATACTAGTCTGGCTCGTGCAGTAGTCCGTGTTAGATACAAAAACAGTGTATCCCTATACAATATCGCTTATTCGGAGTTAGTCCAGTTAAACCAGCCATCTTATTCTTAGCAATATTACGTGTTGAAGCTCGGTGGCGGAAACATTCGTGTACACCTTGGCTGTAGGCACATTACATGGCTGTAGACACATTATCCAACTCCCTGTTTGTTTGTTTACGAAACCTCGCCGTTAGAGAACAATGAAATGGGCATGCCCTGTCGCAAATGAGCGAAAATCGGTGCCGGCTATGACACTGACCATATAACCGCCTCTCGATCCTCGAGAATCGGAACAAATCGCGGCCGCGTCGCCCTTCTTCGAATAGCATTCCGAGAAGACAAACTTCGCATTTCTTCGAGGGGCCACCACGAAGTTATGCGAGAGCAGCTCCACGCCCTCATCGACCACCGCGCTGTCTGAGAAGGCGTGGGGACGAAAGAAGACCAAGCGGGAGGGAAAAGAAAAAAAGGCGTCCGTAATACAAACCAATAAATTTTCACTCGATATAGTCCGCTGACTTCGAACGCAGAACGCGCAGCAGCCATAGCCGCCGAAGCAATCTCTCCCTCTCTCTCACACAACTGGCTGCTGCCGCGCTTCGATAGCTCGGAGCTTATTTTTCGTTCGGGTGCTCTCCCTTAGTTTCGTTTTTTTCTTCTTTTCTCTCTCTCTCTCTTGGCTATTTCTCGCTTCCGACAGCTCATCGCGCTCTCTCATTTCTCAACTGACTCGCATCCGACACCTTAGCTCTCTCCCTTTCTCGACTTGCCCTCCTCCTTCTCTCTTGCTTATCCCTTGCAGTCGTCGTAGGCGAACGCATACCCGGGTGTCTACAGGTGTACGCTCGCCCAGATCAGAGATGTGTTCCTCGATTGCCGCCGAACGCGCTAGCAGCAGCAGCAGTGATGGCGGCGGAGGCATCGTATATATATATATATATATATATATATATATATATATATATATATATATATATATATATATATATATATATATATATATATATATATATATATATATATATATATACTTATGGTAAAGTGGCACTTTTGTGGGAGCGAAAGAGGCTGTTTGGGCGCGTGCTTGCCCGCGTCAGACGAGATTCGTTTCGACGATTAACCCAGCGGAACGAAGGGAGTCAGGTACGGCGAAATTTCTTTCGCCGAAAGAACATGGCGGTCACGTGCATGACTGCGAAACTATAGGGCAACTTTCACAGCAAATGTCAACGTGTGCCCTATTTCAATAGATGCGGTATAGCTGACGCTGGAGGAGTATTGATGAGGTAGCGTGAAACGGGTGTTCACTAAAAAAATAAGCAATAAGAAAAAAATGAGAAACTGGGATCTACCGTGTGTGTACTCTTCGGCAGCGCTTTAGTACACCTTCAGTTGCGTCATCCCAGCAAGGCCCGGTCAAAGCACTTCTGAGAGTTATAGCCATCAGCGTCTTTCTCAATTGCGACTGGATTTGTTGGCGAATATGTTTCTCGTGAGTGTGGCGATGCCTGATAAAGGCGTGGCATTACTGACTATAGTCATTAGTACAGTAGTATCGCGCTTAAAAACGCCTATCGCGCGTTCTAGCAGACTTCACGTTTTTATCCAAGGCAAGGTAATGGTAATGAACCGTCAGGGAAATAAAAAGCTGCGCCATCACAACCTTTCATTTCTTTGTCAGAAATGAACAAATAATTGATCATTTCTGATCGGTCAAATAGCTTGTTGGCAGCATTTTTATGACGCCACACGTGTGAAAAGTTGTCAATAAACCAACATGTGGGATTTAACGTCCCAAAACCACCATATGGTTATGAGACTCGCCGTAGTGGAGGGGCTCCGGAAATTTCGACCACCTGGGGTTGAACCCAAATCTGAGCAGACGGGCCTCAGCATTTTCGCCTCCATCGAAAATGCAGGGATTCAATCGCGTGACCTGCGGGTTGTGAATAAACCGAAAAAGAAATTAAAACCTGTGACGGAACAGCCTTTCATTTTTTTTTCTGGCTTATTCGCCACTTTTCGCAGGGGTAGTGTCAGAAAACGCTACCTACTAGCGAACTTGATTGCTTTACTGGATCAATGTATCAGTATTCGTTTATTTCCTGGCTGTATGGCATATGGAACTATATAACAACCGAACCATTTTCCGTATGTCAATCTTTCCAGTGTATACTTACACATAAGAGAACAGAGCAGTGCCACTTAGAGTTCCCAATTGAGCGGGCTAAGCTGCATACCACCACCGCAGTGCCTTCCACCGATGCACGCAACTAAGTGCTCTTGCGAGGAACTTGAAATAACAGGAGCTACTAGTGAGTGGTGGGCGTAAGAAGGTGAAGCGGGTCAGGCGCCTCACGTTTTAGCCACGCGCCACGACGGTCCCCGAAGCGCAGCTGCGGTAAATATCTCGAACCCTCCCATGCAATTACGCGGGCACCTCCCTTGTTAACCGCGCGCATACCGGGCTGCCCTGCCCCGAGAGCTTCACGTCCGCATACAGCTGCCACCAGAGGCTGCACTCACGGCTTCCACACGGTGGCAGTGCCTCTTCGAAGAGGCAGGCTGGATTGAGTGCGCCCAACAAATTTGCGGTTGCCACCGCGGGGCAAGCAGATTTTTTACGCGGAAACGAGCCCTGTATAGATGCATCCCAGAGCCGCTCTGGCGGTTGTTGTTTTGCTTTGTGCTGCCGCAGTTGTATATATACTATAATCTTGACCACGCATTCGACTTCAGCGTTGGGAAAAAGTAAATTTATTTTCTCGTACCGTTTGATGATGATTTTCGTTTTTTTTTGGGGGGGGGCGGAGTATTTTTTGTCGTTGCGTAAAGCAGGCATGCCTGTTCGTGTGTTTCTTCTGTATGGGACAGCCATTTTCACAAGTGGGCTTGGTGCATCGATGTGTGTCTATTGCATGCGATGAGCTTGTGGCTGTCCGACAAATGAGTTGTGACGCACCACATGCCTTCAACTCATAACAACCAATCACAGTGTGTACAATAATAATAATAATAATAATAATGATGCAAACTCTTCGCAGCTCATTAAGTTGTAAGATTTACCGCGCAACAAGCTCACTGCAACGTATACAATACCCTGGCAGTGGTAAAGATACGGTGACCGCTGATGGAAAAGAAGTCAAGTTGACAGCATAACAGATGTCGAGTTGCGCGGTCACAATGTTTTTTTTTTAATTTCTACATGTAGCGGGAAGATAAACACACTATTGGTTACATGCGTCAGACAATCAGTGTGACAAAGCGCTACTACAAAATAATTCATCTTCTGTTGTCAAAGGATTGGATTGGATAAACTTTTATTTTCGAAGGAAGTGAGCTTGAAATATGATCGCGATACCTTTCTGTCTACAACAAGTCACTGACGCACCGGGGAGAGAGCTTGAAAGAATGTTGGAAAAAGAATGCCAATCAACAAACTGTCCCGACATTTTCACTGCCGCACGTATGTTGCGAAGAGTTTCCCAATAATTCGCCAAATAACGTAATTCAAAAGCCTGTCCCACATTACTTGGAAATGGCCTGCCTTTTTCTTTCATTCTACGTGGAGGAATGAGAGCACCGAAATAAATCGCACTGCACAAAATAAATAACCAAAAATAAGCAAATAATTAAATAAATAAAATAAATTAAGCATGTAACGAGCTACAATCAATTGTGCCAGGTTCCCGTGTTGCGTCATATCAAAACCATTTATAAAGAGAATATGACCACTGTACAGCTTTTAGTGCATGTTCGCACCGAAGGGACACCGAGCCATGCGTATCGCGCGTTGGCGACAGCATCACTGCTATGCGCAGATAATGACAATTTACTGTGCGGGGCGGTGGTATTTAGTTAAAGAACAGCGATAAATGGCCTTGAAAAGTGCTGTAATATTGACGACATACCGTTAGTATGTTCACACAAGGAGTGGTCTTATTCACTATGTTTGGTGTGCTGCAAAAAGAGAGAAAAAAACTAATTACTGCGATACTGAAGCAGCTGCCAATTAGTGTCTCAATGCGCTCTTCTCGATTCGCAGGTGAGAAGCCTTTCAAGTGCGAGTTCGAAGGCTGCGACCGGCGGTTCGCCAACTCGTCGGACCGCAAGAAGCACTCGCACGTGCACACGTCGGACAAGCCGTACAACTGCAAGATCCGCGGCTGCGACAAGAGCTACACGCACCCGAGCTCGCTGCGCAAGCACATGAAGGTGCACGGAAAGTCGCCGCCCCCGTCGCCCTCGTCGTCGTCCGCCTCGGGCTACGAGAGCGACCCGGGGGCGGCAGGCATCACCGCAGCGAGCATCGGCACCGTGACGGGCTCTTGCAACGCCGCGAATCCCGCCGTCGGCGCGCTGGCCGGGACGCCGCTGCAGCCGCTCGGGCTGGCCTCCCACCAGCTGGCAGCGCCGGCGTCGACGGCGCTGAACGAGTGGTACGTGTGCCAGACGAGCGGCATGCCCACGCCGCCCAGCAACGAGCATTCGCCGCTGGGCGGGCCGCCGCACTCTACACCACCTGGCGCCGCCGCCATACTGACCCCGGCTGACGGGGGCGACAGGATTCTGAGGACCCCCGCCACGACAAGCGTGGACCCCTTCCCCGGCAACGCCGGTGCGCCGCCGCCAGGAGACGCAGCGACGAGCGACCGACGCGTTCACACCCGCGGTTACATCTGCCGCACAGCCGCCGCATTGCGGCGACGTGGATACGTCGCGCGGCGCACGCCACTGCCGCGGCTGACACTTCGTCCTCTCGCGCTACGACGGGCACAAGCGACGCGAATGGCCCGAGCCAGCGCTCACCCGGACAGCAGAGCGCAAGACGTCGTTGAAGCAAAGCGGTTCCTTCCGTTGTCAGCGCGTCGTCTTTTGTCTGCACCAGTGTAAGATGAACTCCGCTCGTTCGCGAGCTGTTTAGAGCAAAGTTGACGCTTGGTGAAAAAAAAGAGACTGACCAAAGAGCGCGGCGACAACGTTGTGCAGCGAGGAAGTGGAAAATACTCTGCGTTCTCTGTTGTATACGCTTCCGCTACCGTTGTTGCACCACAGAGACAGTACGAAATACGTGTCAGTGGCAGTCGCAAGTTACCACACCGCTGCGGCCTACGGTAGCGGTGAGGCGACAGCATGGTACAAGGGGTGCTGCAGGTGACCGGAATACTGATATCGCGAGACGATGTGCGCAGAGTCGCTGTTGAACACGCGCATTCGAAACGCTCACAGGCACACCGTGAACTATAGACTGTGTTCTAAAAGTGCTGCAGTTTCCCACGGCCTGCTGAACAACAAGCGCGAGGTCGTGTCTCCCTATTGGTCTCTCAACTTTTTTTTTCCCTCGGTCTACGTCACAGCACATCCATGCGGCTTGTCACTTCTTCAGCTGCGCCCAAAAAATGGGTGAAAATTCGTGCTAAGTCACGTAACAACGATGTACCAAGTGGCCTTTTCGCTATCGCAGCTTTCAGTTCGGGGTCTCTTGACGCGTAAGGTTCGCGGTCAGCAGAACAACTGTAGAACGGATGACTCCTTTAAATTCACAAGCTCGAGGACGCGGGTTCGAACCGGCTCCTCCGCAGCCGTATTTCAAAGAGGGCAAGCTACGAAAACGCCCTTGTTGGTCTACTTAGGTTTAGGAGACTCTTTAAAGAGGCCCAGATTGTCAGAAATAATCCAGAGTTGCCATTTACTATGCAGCATGGCTCGCAAGCATATCCTGGTTTTGGCATGCCACATTCTATATTTACAGATGTTTTTATTCGCCTTCACCAATGTGCACGAAACACGTGATTCGGATTACGAGATATTACGACTGCAAGCATTACGCTTTCAGTACTTTCACTACATGTATGGGCCCGCTTAAGTATAGGTGGTACATCAGGTGTGTATATCGAAGGAAAAAGAATTCCCGAAAATCGTGGCTTCGATCCCGACGATGGCGGCTGCATCTTGACTTGAGGCCCGCGCACTGTGCAATGCCCAGCAGATGGTCTAAATTTTCGGAGCAAAGGCGCACCTCACAATTAGGCCGTTGTTTCGACACGTAAATGTTATTATTGTCGAGAAAATGCGCAAACTAACTGAATATTATGGTCAGATGCTAATGAAATTTAGAAAGAAAAAAAAATGCCAATTTTAGGGCGCAGCAGTAAACGCCTCACACGTTTGCTAACCAAGAGTGACAAGCGTAACGATGTATGCTTGCGACCGAAAATTGGGCTTGTATCGGTCGTGATTGTGTTTAGTCTTTTGCGTCCAAGATCTAGAGGTGTACAGATGTGTGTGTGTGTGTGTGTGTGTGTGTGCAGGTGTGCGTATGTGTATCTTTTTTCTGTTGTTTACCATTCCTTGCCTCACAGATGTTGCTGAGAGTACGAATGAAAACACACAAGAGAAAAATCATGTGTTCTTATTTTGTCTTGTGATAGAGATGAGTTTCTTCGACTACGTGTATAGCCATGCCGCTTCTGCCATTTCCGATTGGCCGAACTGGCGACCTCAGGACGTTAACAAGTGTACTTTTAGTTCCGTGCGAATAGAAATGCGTAAACATAAGATCACGAGCTCAATCAAGATACATTCAGCACCATCAAGGAAATTCGAAACAATAACGTGACCTTTACCTATAGGCAGACAGAAAACAAAAAAAAAAGTGCCGTTTGCGTATGCAAATGCGTCTTTAGGCTCACACAGGTGCAATGGCGTCTGTTACTCACAGATCCAAGATTGTCTTCATAGTGGCATTAAAATCGGAAGCTTCGCAGCATCAAAATTGAGAAAAAAGAAGATCTTGATTTATCACAAGAGAACCATTGCAGCAGATCGACATGTGTGATCTGTCTCTCAAAACGAGATTTACAAACAAAAACAAAGAAAACAACCTGTGAGATAGAAACAAAGAGTGCGGGCTTCAACTACCAAACAGGCTAGCTTGATAGCACTGTTTAATCTTCTACTTACGATATGGGCGACTTGCCGATATTTTGCAACTTCGGAACAAAAGAAAAATCATTTTTGCCTGTCTTGATGATACACACGTGCAGGAATAATATCGGTTTGCCCGGGTGCTAGACGGGAGATTTAGTATTCATAACATCCATCTGTCTTGTCAGGTTGATTTTATGTTTTGAATTCATTTTTTTCAAGTGATACGGTGTGTTATTTATTTCTTAATCACGTGACATCGTAGCTACGCGAGAAACAGAAAAGCAAGTAGTTATGTCATTTCATTTCTCATTTAAACATAATCAGTCGACAAGTTAACCACCTGAATAACTTAAGTTTGCCGATATACCTGATACGAGAAACAAATGCGAACTGCTTGATGATTAACGCAGAAAGCGGAATGAGGCGAGCTGGTTAAATCCTGTAGCCCTTGTAAGCTATACTTACCGGTACAGCCAGTACAGTCATGATCATTCATCGTTGTTGTTGGTTCACGTGGCGAGCATTTCCCTTATTTCAAATATTTGGCGCTCACCAGTTGATGCACATTGGCGGGCAGTGTCAACGTGGCACTGAAAGCTAAAGGTAGATCAGGTTAAACATGGGCTTCTCCGAGTCTCTTCTCGCACAATTTTATTTCGAAAGTCTACTGATAGTTTGTGAACTCTCCGCAAACAGCACGTGGACCTGGTTATCTACCTTCCATCCACGTTCGTCAATGAAAACAAGCTACATAGATAAGTAAGCTGCCAACGAAATAAGCGTCATAGGATGATGCTTGTAATGTGAAGTAGCTTCTAAAACATGTTCGTAGAAGACAGTACACCCATAAACATTCCTAAAGGCTCGCCTAGTTTCTTGTGTAGCCGGAAATTCAGTGTTAGTGTCAAAGTTTACAAAGAAAAGACGTCCGTAACTTTCTTACCTGTTCACATACCAGCTTCAAGCGGTATGTCGGTACGACAAAAGAGATTACGGTGGTTTCAGTAAAACTTGCAACTGGGCTAGTTGGTTCATATTTCACAATAAGCTGGTGTGCGCGAATTGAAGACAAGGACACAGAAAAGATGAGACAGGGACACGCGCGAACTTTCAACTGGATTTTATTATTTGTCAACCTTCAAATATATACTTAGGAAAGATCATAGTCACGTGCACATGGTCAAAAAGCAAAGAGCTTACAAAAAGCGACGTAGAAACGTACGCTCACTATCAAATAAAGAAATTGTCGTGTCGCTAACACAAGCATTACCTCTTGCAGAAATATAAAAGGCTTCCAACAGTTCGCGTGCTGTGGTATCACTGCTCCTACCCAAAACATTAATCTCTCTGAAAACCTGCGAGCACCTGCAAGCTTGACAATGCGCAGCAAAATGTGCATTCCCTTTATCTCTAAGTGTTTCCGGTGGTTTCGCCGAACGGTATATTCCTTGTAAACTTTCGGTGGAAAGTAGCTGTTATAAATTCTAGAATGACATTCTGTATTTTTTTTTTATTGGAAGGACACTCGCCAGTCATTGAGGCTCAGCTTGAACAGTGATGTTGCAAGACGATAGAAGGCATTCACGGCGTTTCCTTGCATGCCAAGAACGCACTGCCAATGTGATAGGTAACTATTCAGTGTGTTAATATTGCAGTCTGCCAGGCTAATCATCCTTCATGTTTCTCGCCTTTAGTGCCCTTCAATAAGCGACATCCACTACCTCACACGTTGCGAAGCAAATGTCGCGGCTGCGACTGCACTATAGCTCGGCTGCGACTGCACTATAGCTCGGGAAGTCGCAATACTCATTTGAAATGAGTATTGCGACTTCCCTGCGACACCATTGTGGCGGCGACATTCGACGCCACGGTGGCTTTCGGAACGCGTGACGGCGGTGGGCGACCCATGTACCACGTGTTGCGTGAGGTTTGCTGCCACGAGCATGGTTTTAAGCGTGAGAGTCGATGACCCGAACGTTCCATTTCGACGGTTCACGTTTACTTAACAGTGATTCGTGTACACGACACATTACCAGCGGGGGAAAGAAAAAAACGAGCTTTTTTGAGCGCGCTGTTCAGGTCACGGCACGTGACATCAATCTGATTACTCCATTGATTCAGCTTTTCACTGTGTGTGACTCCACGACGAACGAAACACAAAGACACGAAACACCATGTTCCAAACACTCTCGAAAAAGAAACAGAAAACTGCCACTATAGTCTTCCTAAAGCTAATTCCGATCATACGTCTCAGCCTATAACAACAACAGCGCTCCCTTGTGACAGCTCGGCGAAATTTATCAAAATTGAATCTTGCAAAACATTACACAACCATCTATTTCGCTCGAGTTTCCCCGTTGCTTTTGTTGTATAGTAACAAAAAACATAAGTCTCGTAATCACAAATATTTCAAGTATAGAAAGAATTCTTCTCCTTGAATCGACGCTTGAAAATAATTAGAACATTTGTGCTACTTATTATTTAATGTAAGAGTCATTAGCTACGAAAACCACTGTATACCCAAACCTCTGGCTACCTACTTTGAGTGTTCACACGCTGAACGGAAGTGCTGTATTCTTCAGTGAATTCACATGCAACACAAACTGTTTTCATGCTTAAAAAAAAGCACCCAGGAAGACGAAGGACAAACAGAGAAACACACAAAACGAGGGCTGTCTTTGAGTTTTACATCAGGTTACGGCATCTGTAATGTTTTTTTTTTTTTTTTGCCCGTGCATCGTCTCATATGGAGCTGTTTATCGTTCCTTGAAGGGTGTATAACTGTTCTGTTGTGACTGTCTTGCTGTGTAGAAGTTGAGGTTTTACATTACCTCTGCCTCTCTGTTTCTAACTATAGCCCATCAAACCACGCTTCTGTTTTCATGCGTACAGACTGGACAGCGAAAAATGATAAGAAAATGTAAATACGAAGCCAGAGATAGAAAAAGAAAAGCAGGTCAAAT